AGAAAAACATTAAGTGGAAAGGGGTGACGAATTTGAGCGTGGGAAGAAGAGACGGCGAGAGTCTCATGAAGATCCAGAAAACCACGAAAAACATAGTAAGCAGAAAGGGATGAATGAACTTGAGCATGGGAAGAAGAGACAGCGAGAGTCTCATGAAGATATCGTAGAACATAGATGTGGTGACTATAGTGGATCGAAGTGGGAGCAGAGACAAACTAACTGAATGTGGTAACTGTGAACGGGATATGAAATGTGTGGATGTTAAATAGACAAGACTCCCAACAAGATGACGGTAGGTGGGGCTAGGAGGGGAGGTTGCCAGTACTGTCGACGAAGCTATGAGGAGGTGGCGCATGACTTGGTGTTCAAAATGGTTTCCCTCATATTCACAGACTTTACACTAGGGCTTTTTACAGTGTGAACGTGGTCGCGCTAGAGGTCTACCATCTCTTGGATGCTGCTACTTCGAAGATTGACTTAAGAGCCCTGGACTTGATCGTGTTGGAATTGGTCTTCGTGCTTTGTACTCGGTACAGCCGGTTGAAGATTGCATGCTAGGAGTGCCACTCGCTCTCATTCTAGAAGAAAAAGTCATCTTGTCACGCTGTAGAAATTCCCATATTCACATGGGCTTCTTTGACGCACCTCGGCGTCCATTCTCCATAAATTTGTGGTATTCTTCAATTCCGTTCCTCCCGGGCTAGCAAATCTGATGTCTAAGCGCCGGCGAAGCTATCATCTTGATGAGGCTGGTAACTGAATCTACTTTGCAGTTGCTTTGCCCGCTATTTGCCACCAGTTCTTCAACTCTGTGCCGCTCACACCGGCATGCCTCAACTCCCCCACAATTTTCACCTCCTTTTCCTTGCCGTTACCAAAGCCGGATGAACGAAGTGGCGCCAAGTTTCTGGCATTCTCTGTGACAAGAGGGTGCCACAAAAGCTAAAAGGCAAGTTCTACAGGACAGCGGTTCGACCCGCAATGTTTGGCGCTGAGTGTTGGCCAACTAAAAGGCGACATGTTCAACAGTTAGGTGTGGCGGAGATGCGTATGTTGAGATGGATGTGTGGCCGCACGAAGAAGGATCGAGTCTGGAATGATGATATACGGGATAGAGTTGGGGTAGCACCAATTGAAGAGAAACTTGTCCAACATCGTCTGTGATGGTTTGGGCATATTCAGCGTAGGCCTCCGGAAGCTCCAGTGCATAGCGGACGGCTAAACCGTGCGGAGAATGTCAAGAGAGGTCGGGGTAGACCGAATTTGACATGGGAGGAGTCCGTTAAGAGAGAGAGACCTGAAGGATTGGAGTATCACCATTCACCAAAGAACTAGTTATGGACAGGGGTGCGTGGAAGCTTGCTATCCATGTGCCAGAGCCATGAGTTGGTCGCGAGATTTTATGGGTTTCACCTCTAGCCTACCCCAACTTGTTTGGGACTAAAGGCTTTGTTGTTGTTGTTGTTCCTTGCTGTTACCTCCATTTATTTTTCACCCTGCCCCAGTTTTACTGGTTTTATGTTAATCTCTCTCATTCCTGATTCTTCTTCTTGGCTTATGTATGCTCTCACTTTCCTCCCTCCCCTACAACTCCAGTTTTGAGATTTTGCTCAACAACTTCCTTCTGATCACTAATCTCTGGTTTTGGTTTGAGATTTTGCTCAACAACTTCCTTCTGATCACTAATCTCTGGTTTTGGTCAGAATTTGTTGATTGCTCGGTTTTATTGTGTTATGCAAGGTGCTTCTAACAAGTTAAATGGATGCACTGATATGTTGGTGCTTCCACAATGTAGAAGTTATTCACATGTTCTTTCCAGCTGTATCTGCATTGGTAGCCATCTTGTAGAATTTGGGTATGCATTCCACTCTTGTTCTTATCCGAACATATTCATATATAGAAAACCAATATTGTCAGCTACTTGCCCTGAATAATCCCCTATGCTCTTAGAATTATTTCTTATCTTTGTGATTTATTAGGTAATAACATAATTCTAGGACATATGATTGTTATTGAACCTTAGGTCAATTAAGTTCCTGGCCACCACCTTTGGTTTCCTCTGATTGATGCCTGAAAGCAGATGTGACATCAATTCTCCATTTTCTGAATACAGAACATTAAGAAACAGACTGGAGTGAGGGACAAGGAACAGACACTTGATGTGCCTGCTGGGAAGGCAATTACAAAGGAATTAGTGGTCTGCTGTCCTCCTTAGTCCTTTGAATGATTCATTTTCTTTTGGCATGCAATAACATGACTAATGCCGACACATCTCCATTGTGGGTTTTATATTTTCACTAACCATGTCAAGTTTCCCCCTCATTGGAGTAACTACTTAAGGAATCTGTTAACCGGTTCATGGCCTCTGTAGCAAGAAAGAAGACAAATCTTGATTTCTTTATGAAGGGGTGGAAGGTATATTTCTGTATTTAAGAGTTTACTTATTGATACAGTTTATCAATAGGATCTATTGACAGTCTCTTATGAACGCCTTTGGTGGTAACTATTTATGGGTAATGAACTATTGCTTGTGATGCAAGTACCATAACATATTCCCATCGTAAGATATGTTTAAACATCTTGAGCGAATACTCCATACATGTTGAAGCTTTAAGCCTCTTGTTTGCCACGTTGTTTAGGTATCAAGAGCCTTTTCTTTTGAAGGCATTGGCTTTTATGGATTTTATGTATGCCTTCAAAAGAGGCTTTTATGTATTTTCTTTATTCTGGATTTTATGTATGTCTGTTGTGATGTTAGATACAGATTGATTCAAAAGGCTTCAGCTGCGGATTTGTTGGTGTAGTTTATTTTAGCTGGGGTGACCAGTTGGTTTGCAGACAACGATGGTTTGGCCCTGTACCCCGTTCTTTATATGAAGTGCTACTTTGCTTTTCTGATTTGGTAACTTGATTCTTCTAATTCAAGGATTCCGCTGATGGTTGAGCAAGTAGGTGGGAATGTCGCATGGTGTGCGCTGCATATTCCGGCAGTATTCAATTCTTCCTCGAAAGCCGCTGTCATCACGGCTGTGCTGTTCGAGGACAAGACATCGAGGCCCAAAGCTGCTGCCGCCGTTGTTGCCCTGGTGGCGACATTCATCCAGCGCCGATGTGTGATAAACTGGCCAGAACCTCACTAGACGCTGAAATGGATTAGATAAATCTGTTGCTTCCATCCAGAATAGTTACTTTGTGTGGACTGCGTCTGGGCCTTTTGGTCAAATGCCGGCAGTATAGTTATCCCGTCACAATGTATGGAAGAGCGCAGCTGGCAAAGGGAGAAGACCCAAGACAATACAGTAAGATTTACAGTAAGTATGTTATTATGGAGTGTTCAGTTGACACCGTGGAGTAACACGACACAACTGTATCGTTTTCTATTTCTATTTTTTTGCAAGTATCACATTTGTCTGTAAGAATAATAGCATGAGTTAGTACTCCCTCTGTAAACTAATATAAGAGCGTTTAGATTACTAAAGTATTGATGCCGCATGCCCAAGGTATGGGCCGAGTGAGCAGGAGTGTAGGACATGCCACATTCCGACAGTATTGCCTGATGACAGTTCTTCCTCCAAAGTCGGCACGTCGAGGCCCAAAGCTGCTGCTGACGTTGTCGCCCTGGTGGTAAACATTCATCCAGCGCCGATGGGTGATAAACTGTCCAGGAGGCGTCGAGTGCGAGCTTATGAATCTGCTGAAATGGATTAGATAAAATTTGTTGCTTCCATCAAATCTGTCCAGTTGCTTACCCCCTGTTTTTCTGTTCCTGTGTGATCAATCTGTCCAGTGACATTTCTGGAGTAAACTTCTTTACAAGCTTTGCTGCAATGCCTGAACTTACAGTGTCTGTCTTTTCTTTGGCGGGTAACAGTGCCCTCCATGGGCTTGTATGCATTTGATTACCTTGGTTTTTATCACTCGAGTACCTTGACTTTGCATAGCCAAGTACATGAAGTTCTTTGAATACGGTTGGGCCGGTCAGACAGAGTAGAGTCGGCCTTTTCTTTTGAACTTTATTAGGTAGAGTCAGCCTTGCTAGCATATAAAAAATGGTCTTCCATCTCAGGCAACCATGGCATCGAGAAGAAACACAAAGATATAGGTGTTGTTTCTTCCAAATCTGTTGCCTTTTACCGCGTTTTTCAGGCTCTTAGTGGGCTAGAAACATATTTCCTCCACCACCACTTCTTCCAGATCTCAATGCAGCCTTTTGTCAATGGATGGACATGATACACGTGTGCCGCTTGTGCAGCTACGAATTTGTTTCCCAAGAATGTTTGTGTTTATTTTTTTTTCAAATGGATTTAGTAACTTATCTTTGGCATTTATTTTTTATTCGTCTTTGTTTCTCATGCGTGGAAATAAATTACGCATTTTCACTTTTTGGGTGCAATTAAGCTTTTTTACGCATTTGTGTTTTGTTGGGTGCAGTTACACTTTCGTGTGGTTCAATTATATTTTTTGCCAAAAAATGTTCTTTTATATTTTGTTTCATTTTTTTTGTACTTCACTATTTGTGTAACTACACTGCAATTTGGACTGTTTTTTTTTCTAGTTGCAGTTTTTGGTGCAATTGTACCTTTTTTTAGATATGTTTTTTTCTTTTTGCAGGATTAGAGATGATTTTCCGAGCAACTGGGAGGAAGAGACAATGTAACATCACTTGTTGACTCAATTATGCAGGACAAGTATAACTTACCATAAATACAAATTTGTATGTAGGAAAAACATGAATACCGTAAATAATAATTTGTATTTAAGAAGGTAAAGAAATACATACAATGGGACAAAACCCTCAACATTCAAACACTACAAACACATATACTACTGAGATCTAAAAAAAAGGCAAGAATTACTGGTACTGTGATACATCGCATATAAAACACCGAGCTTGCATGTAAGAAAATGTACGTCGTGTCCACGGAGTGACCTGGCGCCACACTCAGATGAACGGCGCGTCCTATCGTGGACAGGGCGAGAGCACCGCGGCGTGGGCACGCCTACGCTGACGGGGGCGGTGCCGCGAACGGCATAGGCACGTTCACATTCGGGACGAATGGCAACGGCGGCAGCGTCACCTTGGGCACGACAATGGCAGGCATCGGCGCCATCGTCACCTGCGGCACGGTGGGGAGGGTGACCTTGGGCATGGGCGGCAGGACCGCCTTGGGCACGACGATGGAGGGCATGGACGGCAGCGTCACCTGCGGCACGGTGGGCAGGGTGACGGACGGCATGGGCGGCATCAGGGTGACCGTGTCCGTGGGCACGGCAGGCAAGGTCGGCACGGCAGGCAGGCCTGGGACGGTGCTAGCAGCCGGAGCGGCAGCCGCCGGCGTCGTGTCGGCCAGGTTGCGGGCGGCGTGGCACATGCTGCCGGCGAGGAGGAGCGCGCACGCCATGAATACGGCCAACATGCTCGCGTTGGAAGCCATGTAGCTAGAACTAGCGAACGTACTGTTGAGAGTTGAGAGATGGTTTTCTCTCTCGGGTGTAGCAGGTGACTGCAAGATGTTGCTTCTAGTCTGATTATGGGTCAATACCGGGCAATTTATACAGTTCAAAGTGATCGCGTGATTAGGTGGGTTGTTGACCCGATTGAGAATGTCTGTGCGTGCGTCGTCAATCCAAAAAGGGAAGTGCTTTGTGTGGTCGAGGTAGCTAGGCGATAGCTACAATTTTCTGGGTTTAGGTGAAGAGCTGGCCGACGCTGCAGCTTCGATTTGCTCAACCGTCTTTGATAATTAGTCTACCGTATCTCAACTGCCTCGGCCACACGTTCTCGGGCGAAGGTGCACTCACGGTATTGTATAATACCTAAATAGTTTAGGGAAACGTTCGCAGCCGGTCGACCGGCTGCCTATTCGGCCGGTCGCGGCCACGCATGCGCGCCAGGTCGTCTGGATGGGTCGCGCGCAGCCGCTCATCCCCAACCTTATCCTTGTCTTCTTTCTTCACGAATCCCTTCATCGCTCATTCTTTTTGGCAGCTCTTCTTTCCCTCGTCTGCAAGAAACACCGCGGCTGCATGAACTTGCCTCTCTTGAGCACCACTCCCTCCTCTCCTCCAGGCGCAGGATGTTCTGGTGCTGCGTCAAGTGTGGCGATGCTACAACCGCCACCGGAGATGCTGCAACCGTCAATGGAAAAACTACCACCGGCGGACAGATATGCTACAACCGGCGACCGTGAGTTGTTGCCGTCGACGACGGTGCTACCATTTGCTTCAACCGGCAACGTAAAAGCTACCACCGGCGGACATACGTGCTGCAACCGGCGACGACAACGATGTGATTTGCTGCAACCGGTGGACGGAAAGCTACTACCGACGGAAGTATATGCTGCAACCGGCAACGGTGAAGTGTGTCCGACGAGGACGGCGCTGTGATTTTTGCTGGCACCAGTGAACGGCTCTTCTACAACCAGAAGCCATACTGCTACAAGCAAGCCGCTACAATCAGCAACCATACTGCAACAAGCAAGCCGGAGAAGTGGACGAGTCCCTGTGACCGGCTCTCGCGTCGACGGCTTCGACGGTTCGGCAAACAGGAGATGAAAGCTGCAACCGGTGGGCTAAATTGCTGGAACCGGCAGCACGTTTTGCTGCATAGGGGCAAAACCACGAGGACAGCAGCGCTGTAACTGTCAAGCCGGTGAGCGACCCCGGCGAGATGCGACGGCGAGCAACCCCGGCGAGATTCGATGGCGAGCTGCATAGCAAGCCGGCCAGATACGAGGGTGAGCTGCACAGCAAGCCGGCGGCCCGGCACCGTGCAACTTCAAGCGAGATGCGACGGCGAGTGACCCCGGCGAGGTTCGACGGCGAGCTGCATAGCGAGCCGACGAGATACGACGGCGAGCTGCACAGCGAGCCGGCGCCATGGAACTTCAAGCGGGAGCACGACTAGCAAAGCATGCATATGAAGACACGGGCGTGTGCGAGGGATTAGCTGGCTTAATCGTGTGGTCACAGACGTTCAAATCGTGCGGCTGGGCAGCGACCGGCCCAAATTGAGTCGGTCGACCGGTCGCCAATAGTTTATCCCCACTGTTATTTTTTTTGACATGCAGCCTATCCACATCATTAAGTAGGCCCACATGCAAAAATAGTTTTCGCCTCTCAATAACCTTCATTGATCCAGAATCCAAAAGCCACGTACGCGTCATCCTTTTTCAAAATATAAACCTCCGTTCCAGCCTTCCAAATCGGTGTCCATCTCCTCATATTCTCAACAGCAGCACCTCTAATCTTCTCCACCGTAATTAATCTCCCACCAACCTCCCATTATCCTCCAAGTAAGGAAACGGATCGAACCAATAACCGATGTAATTGCTGCCCGATTCAGCACCCGTCGATCTTCGGTTCTACCTTTGCTATATATATACTGCGGCTCCTTCAAGCAGACACCTAGGAGAAGTAGGTCGGGGCTCCAAAGGATTCCACGCGAGCAATTCTTGCTGCAGCCCCTCTCCTTCTCATGAGTAGAGTGAAGTCTGAAATAAACCCTGAGGTTGTATAGACCGACATAAATGAACCCTCACCTCTAAATCCCTGAAATTGGTATCCTGTATTTACAATTCCCGGTCAATCCAAACCTTGTATCAGTAAAATCCTGTTTGTTCTAACAGAAAAGGCGTGATCCCAGCCGGGATTGATTTCTACTCTCACTTACAACATGGGCCCACCTGCGCATATGCATCACCCTCCCCGGTCAATCTGAACTCGCCTCCCGATGAGGTCCTGATGAGCGTGTCGGATGGGGCTGGGTCACGGAGTCAGCTATCGACGCCATTCCAGAGGAGCTCCTGGGCGCGTCCAAGCCTAAACGGCAATGCGCGGCTGATGCCGCGCTATCCCGACCAGAGGAGCTCACAGTGGCCCTCGCCGGCAATGGATTGTTGCTCGTCTGGCTGCAGGAAAGGTGGCGCCAACGGGGCGAGGACGCAGCCATGGATGCCACCAAGCGCATGAGCATATTCACGGGAAGACCGGCGGCTTGGCCTCTGAGGCGGGTGCTCGCCGTGTCCATCGACGGAGTGTTGGCACTGTCGAGATTAACCGCAAACTACACATAGATTACTATCAGAAAAGGCAAGAAATATATCACAAGGGCCTGTTGCAATCCATCGGTATCCCGCGTCTCGCGTGCGTGTACCCAGGAGAGATCACAAGCCAGACTCACTGACTCACGTACTAGTTCGTGCTTGTACAGGAATATATCAAGCCAGCTATGTACGCATGTGTCTTCCGGCGACACTTCAATCCTCAGTAGACGCGCTCGTTGACATCGTCGTGGACACAGAAGAAGTTCAGGTGGCTGTGATTGTCGTGGCCTTTGCCGTGCGTTCCCACCCCTCGAGCTTGTCGTCGCGGACGGTGACGACCCTCCGAGACACGACGGCGATGAAGCCGAGGGAGATGTTGAGCTTGGTCCGGTGATCCCTAATGGCAGCCTTCGTCGTGGATACATGTCACGAGCAGAGGGTACGCCAGTCGCTAATGGCCCCTCGCCGCCGAACTTAACCACAATGAGCTCCTTGCACACTACGAGATTCACCACAAAAAACGGTGTCAGTTCTGGTAATCTTATCATAATTCTCCCAATGCATGCCCGTGTTGTGATGCAGGCATTCAACCTTCCGTGCAGCCCGTTCCTCGACACACCGCACCTGTGTCCCTTGCATTGCTCTCATGTCCCAAGGTGCCCAACATCGACTTTCTTACTGGTGGGTCGTAGCGTTTTGTGCCATCTCAGTCTCTCCTGATCATAAGGCCTTCCACTATGTAGGCCATAATCGGTGCCAAATTTACTTTTTGACATTTAGCATCGATGCCCTACATTGTCCAGCCCGGTGCCAAGTAAAAAATTCTAGGCATTGATGCTTCTACTTGCTCCGGTGCCAAATTCGTTGAGCCAATAAACTAAGCGCGTCTTGGTCCTTTCTCACGCGAAGCAACACCCCGTGACACTGGTCCTTGGGTAAGTTGGGCAGATATATTACTAATTTATATGCATGCGGGCCCGTGCTGAGTGGATGCGAAATCTTTCAATTGTGTGACCGGTGCCATAAAAAGTTCAACTGCCATCTGCGTGTACGTGGCTGGCTTTTAAGAAATGTGGCACGAGTACATGGTGGAGGGCCTAAGTAGCCTGTTTTGCCTTTACTATTTAAACGATCACTACTTCTTGCATAATATTGCTTTTGGACCTTTGGGAGTCCAGTCACTGTTGCATATATGTTTGTTTGGTTATGGGTATGTCCAACTGTTATAACACTGTCTGCCAACGACCCCCAATGGATCCCTTTCCCTCCTCCTCCCCCTCCCGCCCTAGCCGCTCAGTTCCCCTCCCCTGCTCGCCGGCCGGGGTTTGGAGGAGGACTCGCGGTCGGATGCCTCCTCCCCCCGCTG